ATATTTTTATTAAATTGAGGGGAATTTAAAATGGACTTTCGGGGAATTAGACAAATAGGTCAAATTTTAGTAGGTTAATTTCATCGCACATGTTGCAGCGTTGCCAAACCAAAATTAGTTTTTGAGACAGTTCCGTGTTGACGTGCGCATGAGCGATACGACAGTTCGAACGTTTTATTTATTAAATTTTTGCTGTTATTACTTGTTGTTGCATTTTGTGTTTCTTGTTTTGTTTTAATAATTTGCCTAATGCGAACGTGGCATTATAGTGCTCGTGAATACGGCAACATGTTAATGTGCCGTGGAGAAGCTCGCGGGAATGCTTCGCGTGCATTAAGAATTTAAAATTTTATAACGTATCGCTAAATTGTTAGTGCGTCGGGATGGAACAAGTTTGTCATTCGAGAGTTCATAAAGTCTAAAAGCATAAACCGAGACCAAACCCGAAGGTTAGTTAACGTACGGGCAGGTTTATTTATGGATTTAGATCGGTAAGCTGTTTCATACCTAATTATTTTAAATAACTTAGTACGGAACTGATCTGAATGGGTTCGTAACTGAATACATCAGAATAATAAACATACCTACTAAATAATTTAAGTAAATTTTTTATAAGCGGGGAATCGAACCAGGTACTTGGTTTACTTAACCTGTGAATTCGAATTAAAGTGGCTAGGTGGAGACTGTGGCAAAATGGTAGGTTAAGTAAATAAGTTAGGTATTTAGACAAATGTCGTAAATTATTAAATATTGGTACGATCACGGGCTGCGGGCCGCACGCACTTGAGTAAATAAATTGCTCATAAGCCGAGCGTATTTGGCGACGCACATACATTGACCCCTGATGTTAGGTATTTGAAGTTCCACTGCTGGTTTTATTTTTAAGTACGCGTTTACAAAATGGATAGGTATAGAATCGCACTACTACATTGACAAAAGTCACACACACACTAGTGTACGCACGGTTGGCTGTGGGAATCGTAGTCAAATGAAATTATTTTGATAATTTGAAAGATTGAATTTGTTTTTCATTTCTTATACCTACCTCAGAAATATACTTCGATACGAAATATCAATACCTGCTCCAAAGACTGCTTGGCACTGGAAGCCCTCTACTGGTAGTGAGATGTTAGCTCTGGACTTTGAACTGATTTTGTCAGTTATAATAAGACCTTACCTACCTGCGGACTTGATGGAGTGACCTGAAGGTGTAATTTGGTGATTACAACAATAGGAACTCCTAGACTAGTGGAACTAGGTGTGCCGAGTTTGGGTTCGTTTTGTTGGTTATGATGAGACCTTACCACCGGACTTGATGGAGTGACCTGAAGGGGTAATTCAGTAACTACTGCTGGAATTTCTGAACGAGTAGAACTAGGTGTGCCGAATTTGGGCTCCGTTTTGTTAGTTATGACGAGTCTATACCTCCGGACTTGATGGAGTGACCTGAAGGTGTAAATCGGTGATTGCAACTGGAACTCCTAGACTGGTGGAACTAGGTGTGCCGAGTTTGGGTTCGTTTTGTAGGTTATGATGAGACCTTACCACCGGACATGATGGAGTGACCTGAAGGTATAGTTCGGTGATTACAAGTGGAACTTCTAGACTTGTAAGACTAGGTGTGCCGAGTTTGGGTTCGTTTTGTTAGTTATGATGAGACCTTACCACCAGACTTGATGGAGTGACCTGAAGGGGTAATTCAGTAACTACTGCTGGAATTTCTGAACCAGTAGAACTAGGTGTGCCGAATTTCACTCCATCAAATCCGGTGGTAAGGTCTTATCGTAACTAACAAAACGAAACCAAACTCGTCACACCTAGTTCTACTAGTCTAGGAATTCCATTTGTAACCACCTGATTACACCTTCAGGTCACTCAATCAAGTCCGGTGGTAAGGTCTCATCGTAACTAACAAAACGAACCCAAACTCGGCACACCTAGTTCTACAAGTCTAGGAGTTCCACTTGTAATCACTGAACTACACCTTCAGGTCACTCCATCAAGTCCGGAGGTATGGACTCGTCATAACTAACAAAACGAAGCCCAAATTCGGCACACCTAGTTCTACTCGTTCAGAAATTCCAGCAGTAGTTACTGAATTACCCCTTCAGGTCACTCTATCAAGTCCGGTGGTAAGGTCTCATCGTAACTAACAAAACGAACCCAAACTCGGCACACCTAGTTCTACCAGTCTAGGAGTTCCAGTTGCAATCACCGATTTAGACCTTCAGGTCACTCCATCAAGTCCAGAGGTATAGACTCGTCATAACTAACAAAACGGAGCCCAAATTCGTCACCCCTAGTTTTACTCTGCAAGAAGTTCAAATAGCGGTCACGAAAGTACACCTTCAGGTCATGCCATCAAGTCCAGAGGTAAGGTCTCATCATAACCAACAAAACGAGCCCAAACTCGGCACACCTAGTTCCGCTCGTCCACGAGTTGCAGTAGTAGGTAAGTTTATATATCCTACTTATTTTTAGCTAAATAAAAACTGTGAGTATAAAAATAATAATTTTATCACTTGTCAAGTACCTATGTTTCCAATTTGTTTTTTTCTAATATTTTGTGTATGTACAGCGATCTTTTCAGAACGAGCCGCTGCAAACAGGCGACACAGTGTCCACTCACGACGGCGGCCGAGCGCGGACTGTGGTTTCATCGAAATCTTTGTACAATAAATCAAAGCAGGCACCAACAATAAAATAGCCCTTATTGCAATACATTATGATTCATCCATATTACCAAAATATGTGAAAAAATGTGCATCAGTTTTTATTTTTTTTACGACCTTTTGTGACATTTTGTTAAAAAATAAACACAGGGTTTTTTAATTGAATATATCTGTCATCTTATAGTATTTTTTAAATTTTTTAAATATGTTGATAAAAGACCAAAACATTTACCGAAACACAAGCCGGTATCGTTAATTTTGTAGAAAATGGCAACGAAAGTTCGTTTTTACAATATAAAAAACTACTATTTTCAACAAAAGAGTTACAGACATTTGCAGATGAAGAACCAATCTATACATGGTAGTTTTTACTTATATTTGATTTGGTTTAGTTTTGTCACAAAATCTACCGAAAAACACCCTAATTTTGGTTGATTTGCAAACGCGTCCTTAAGTATTTTCATGATTTTTTAATGAATTTATTGTTTCATTTATCTGTACTAACATGATATAGCGTTAATAAAGCTAAATAAACGTTGTAAAAATGATTTTATATTCATCAGGATCGGGATTTTCTTTTCGTTCCATCATCAAAGTATCCTTAGTACTATCGTCTGTCTTCGTTCTCGGGAGCGTTTCAAAAATACCATAATAATAATAAAAGTATAAAAAAGTACGAGATATCTATTTACTACATTAAAAATAATAAATAATAATCAAGTACTAATTACATACATAGAGGAGTTTTTCGGATAGTAAAAAATGGTATATTTTTATTTATTTTATTTGCTTTTACTGCTTTATGAACTTATTTGCTTTGAATAAGTTACAATATTATTGCATTTACAATTAATAATTTTTGTTAATTAAATATATGTACATACATTCTATTACATTTCATACACACATTACAGGAAACTATATTAACACTTTTAAAATTTTTCATAACTCTTATTTCATTGAGTGTTGAGTTAAGGAGACCCATTTCTGTATTAAAAGGTGTCCGTAGGAAAGAGCTAAATAAGGGGAGGCGAGGAGGAAAAACAACACGCGTATAGCTTAGGTAAATCGACAGAATCGGCACTTCACCACATAATAACAAAGATTGAAGAGGCCATCCAAAACAATTAATAAGTCTAGGCTCCTTCATAAACATAGAGGGTGCTTTTGACAGAACAAAATTTTCCAGCATAAAAGGTGCACTAAGTAGACATAATGTTGAACTGGCACTGATTTACTAGATAGTAAACATGCTCAGTACATGAATAATAAAGTTTGCTGGTGAATCTCAAACAATTCAGATCAAGAATGGCTGCCTGCAGCGTGGGGTTCTTTCACCTCTCCTGTGGAATATCGTCATTAATGAACTCATCAGCATGTTGAATGCTAATCATTTCTACACAGTAGGTTATACAGATGATCTGACAATACTGGTCTCTGGAAAGACAGTAAGCATGGTGTGCAACCTGATCCAAGTGGCTCTCTGTATAGTGGAGAGATGATGCAGGGAATAGGACCTAACCGTTAATCCAAACAAAATGGTTCTAGTAATGTTTACACAAAAACGAATGCTGAATAACTATCTTCTTCTAAGTCTTTTCAGCACAAAACTCCAGCTATCCTCTGAGGTAAAATACTTAGGTATTACCTTGGACAGTAAGCTTAACTGGAATAAACACATAGAAAAGAAAATCAACAAAGCTAGAACTTTCTGGCAATGCAGAAACATGATTGGCACCCAATGGAGTTTGACGCCAAAAATTATACTGTGGCTGTACAAAACTGTAATTCGGCCCATGATCACATACAGCTCTCTGGTATGGTAGACAATCATCCCTACTACGGGAGTCTCATGTCATGTATCATTATACTTTGACAAAAATAATAGGGCTCAGTTGATTGTTAGCATTTAATTAAAGAATGAACATAGCTACGGTGTGGGCATAATAAATCTGTCCTGACATCTCATTATAATATAAATAACACAAGCAAATTATGGCAAACCCCATTCAGAGAGAAGTTTATGCCCAGCAGTAGAAAAAAAGGAAAGAAGAATGTCTATGGATCATGTCTCTTTATTCAATCTTCAAATTCAAGACAAATGCAGTTAAAAGTGTTAAAAATTGATCCACTAAGAGCCATGTAAAAAATAAAAATTATGAGTTTTACCTAGTTCCCTCTGATTTTATTATTTTAGTAAATGCAGTTCTTACTCATTATCAGAACATAATAGGTTATTGCTACAAGTGACATTTTATTGTTGAGTACTTTATATAAATAATAAAAGTAACACCCAACTCTACAAATATACAGCTATTAAAAAATTACCTTATGCATAAGTTCATTCAATACTGGTTGGAGTTCAATTGCTTTTTCAAATTCTGTTCTTGGAAATGGAGATGGCAGCAACACAAAGGGTGCAATCTATTGAGAAAAAATAAACAATTATATTATGGTATTGATGTACTGAGTTACAATGTATTAATTTTATCCCGTAAGTATTAGCTCTGATTTTTTTTTATTGGATGAGTTTGATGAGCAAGCACACAATCCACCTGATGGTAAGTGAATGCTGTGGCCCATAGACATCTACTCTATCCTCAACTATGAATCAGAATGCAGATGCATTATTACCTGTGAGGACCAAGATGGAATGTGGAATGTCTCGTTTCCAGTAAAAGGGGTCTCCAGTTCTCTACACTCATCATACAAAATACAGCAGCATTTAGCTGTTATTTTACGCTGGCATTCTGTGAGAGTGTAGTCTTTCTCTGATTGAGCTAACCCATTTATGATACAACTTTACTACTAATATAGCTATAGCAGCATGGCTCTACCACATATAGAATACTATTTGCAAATAAGTTTTATATGAGTGAAGAATCATTAAAGCCAATTATGAAACTTAAAAATCAGTCAATTAGGGAGATTCACAATTAATCAATTTCACAAAACATGAGCAACCCCGGTTCAATCCCTGTCGGCACCAATAAAAATAATAATTGCAATTTTAAGTGCTCATTTATCACATGCACATGTGAAGGAAAACATCACGAGGAAACCTGTATGTCTGAGAAATAAGAAAAAAACTATTTCGAACACATGTGAGTTAACACCGAAAATGCATTGAGGTAGAGCAGCGGCCATTTCCTGGCCACAAAACCCTCTCGGAAGTGAGAGGAGGCCTGTGCCCAGTAGTGGGAGGTATATGGCTGTAACATTAACCTTTTTAACTTAAATCAGGCAAAGTGAGGTGGGAGAGCCCCTTTGCTGCTTAGTCTTTGTTAGTATAATCCCATATCAATATACGCCATTAAATGGCAGCATATTTACTATTATGTTCTGGTTATATTTACTATTATGTTCTGGTTTAAAGAAATTTGTATGTGGTGGAGCCATGCTACAACTATATTGTGGTTGTAACATGAATGGGTCGGCTTGACTGGGAAAGGACCATGCTTTCACAGAATATCAGCGTAAAATCTCATCATAATGCTGCTATGTTTTGTGTGGTAAGTGTAGAAAACCAGAGGCCCTTTTTACTGGAAATGTGGTATTCTATCTTAATCCTCACGGTTAACAACGCATCTGCTATTTGATTCTTAATCGAGGATAGGTGTAGATGCCTATGGGCCACAGCATCCACTTACCACCAGGTGAACTGTATGCTCATGTAATTTTTTTTTATTGACTGATGTTTGAGGTTAGGTAACAATGATTATCATTATTTCTCACTAAAAAGAGGATGGACACACTTTGTCTGAAATTCGTTTAACAACATGGACTATTTAAAAAAAATTAACTGAAATGAAAATGTATTTTACTGAAGTTAAATAATGCATCTCTAGCCATCTTCATTTAATGTTCATTTCAGGTATCCATACTACATATCTATACTACATAGCTGCTACAGCAGCTACTTAAGATCTTAATGAAAAATTTACAAAGAAATATATGAGATCTACAATCAATATTCAGGGGGAAGGGTTAGTGTAACTTGAGAAAATAAATATAAGAGTACAACCCGGTTGAGCTAGGTTTGCACCTCACTGCAATGCGAGAATCTCAATTTCTCCACTATTAACCCTCTGGCCATACAGTCGCGTAAGTACTGTTTGCATCTTTGTTACCGGTATGCATGTCTTAATTTTCATCTCCTGTTTGTTTAGTTTTTGAATTACTTTTGTTGTTATATCATCTGCACCAAGTGCAAAATAAACTCATTCGAGTTGCAAGTATTTGACCCTGATGAGTGAAGGGATGAAAAAGGGAGTAAGTTGTGGAGACCACCCCAAAGAATAAATTTCCAACTCGGGTTACTACCATTGATATTAGTGCTTACATTTTTTTGACAGTAGGTGTAGCTATTTGCATTTTCGCAATATAACTTTAAAAAACTAGACTAATAAATGCAAGATCTATACATAATGAAAATTTGAACCTTAACCCGATTGTAGGTTTTTTATAGTTGAGTCAACTTTGTGCATTTGCAGCATGTTTCTAGAACTAAAAAGGTTGACTTAAGCTAGTCCGAGTCGAGTGTCAGCCGTAGCTTGGTCACCAAGCCGGTCCTGTGTCTGAAATTACAAGCTCGGGCCTTGACCGAGCAATTACTGTTGCGCGACAATGCAGTATACTCGTCTCAGAAAAATAGTGTTATAACTGGACTATACAATCATCTTGAAGTTTGAAGATCTGGAATTAGCGGCTAATGCGATTGCTCTAGACGATGAAGAATCTGATAAATCTTCAACTACAAGCCAGGACTGAGTTGTTGACGAGCGTTGTCGGTTGCTCGGTCGTCACCCGGTTACCGCTCGGTATAGCGTGAGTGTGCCCATACAAAATATATGTAATATTAGTTGACCGTGCTACGGCCGACATTCGGCTCGGACCCGACACGGTCTAGCGTGAGTCATCCTTAATGCTTACGATAATGAATTAACGAAATGATAAGTGATTTTGATTGTGTACAGTAGAGAAAATACCTGTATAGAGTCTTTTGTAAAATGTTTCTTGTCTCGCATTCCAACACCGTGCATGAGCGCCCAATCTTTAGCTTTTTCGATTACTGTCACTAGTAATTTATGTTCCAAAGGCAATGGGATACATGATGCAAGCCGAGCTTGAGACATGACGCTATATTACTGAAGTATTATAATTTAAAGCTATTTGAAATCAAAATTATTAAAACGGGAATGTCTTACACATTCAATATAATAGATAGGATTGTAAAATTTTGCTAATCCCTAAACTTTAAACTACAAATCACAAAAAAAACAAATATTTACAAATGTGATAAAATATTTGTTTCGTTTTGCTCCTTGAAGCTTGAACAAAAATCCAAAGTGGTTTTTTTATTTAACTGGCTTTACGGCTCTGGGTACTAGCCTTTCTGAGCCTATCATTTCTTTCAGAATCTTCATTTTATATATTTTTTCTTTACAATATGCTGATGTGTCACATTGTGAAGTTTTTGGGAGATTATGACGACAACTCAACCCAGCGGACTGTTCATGACGACAGCCAATCAAGTTCATAAGGCGCCCAAGCGATGAAATTAACTTGAGGTTTATATCAACATCAAAGCAATTGTTTCATCGTTTTCTCTAATAGTTCATACGCGCAAACGCTTAATCTACAAAATCACATTACTTTTACAAATTAAAATCCACTTCAAACCATTATTCAAGCGACAAAACAGGAGGCGACAATCCGTCATCGGCCAAGTTCCCGCCAAAACTCCCCTATTTTTTTTGAGATTTACATACATCTAAGATTAGGTCCATGAAGTTGGCACCCGGAAATAATTATTAAAAATGCGACTAGTATAAATCGATTGCGCGTAAAAAATGATGTTTATCGGTACTAATTATTTGTTTGCGCGTTAAATATTTGTTTAGATATTTAAAAAAACAAGGCGGGTGCTGTGAAACAATAAATTTTCCAAATATTGGGTTGTCTTCTGGCGGTCATTTGGAAATTGACCGCTAGAAGACAACCCAATATCACAGCGATGCAACTACTACAAAGGCTCCAGGATGACCACCAGCTGCTGGTAGGCGACAAAACCGTGAAAAGGAAGTTGCATGAAGTTGGTCTTCATGCTCGAAGACCACTACGTGAACCAGCATTACGAAGTCACAATAGCGTTCGGCGGCTTTCGTGGGCTCGGGGCCATTTACCATGGTCTTTGGTGTTGGTGCAGTTGCATCACTGTGATATTGGGTTGTCTTCTGGCGGTCATTTGGAAAAATTGATCATGTCTCTGCGTAGTAACACGATATCCGTGTGCCGTTCAGCCACATCTCCATTACTACGATTCACAACCTTGATATCACGTTTTGGCTGGTGTGCAGGGCCTCAGCAACGAGGCGTTGAATAGCAACATTTTGTAACTTGCCTACGGCTCGTAACATTTTATCTCGACTCATTCATTAATATCAGTATAACAATATTTTGACGGCTCCGTGACGCAGTGGCTTAGCAATGAGTAACAGCGCTAAGGGCCGCGGGTTCGAATCCCGCACGGGACAAGTAGTTGTATCGCCTACAAGTAATTGTTCCGGGTCTGGATGTTTGTTCTTGTGAAATTTATGTTTGTAAACTGCCCCCACGATACAGGAGAAAATCCTAGTTTGGAGGTAACGTTGTTTAAAAAAATATAAATTTTCCTTGACGTAACGAATTACTAACAATTTTGCCACCATATTTTTTTCTTTTGTTTTTACTTATTTGAAAATATAATAAAAGAGGTTTCAATCTATAACCATAACTTTTTACGAAAACTATTCTATATTGTCACACGTACGTCAAATTCTCACCACTGCATTGGTGATTGGTAGAGAATTCCTCAAGGCATTAAGTCCGCCCTATGTATTCTTTTGTTTAAGGGTGCAATAAAGAATAAAATAAATAAATAAATAGATTTTAAACTATAAAGTCATAAATAATATAGGTTTTTAGCAAAGCTCTTCAGGAAGCTGTTGCTGCCAACTAAAGAAAAAAGCGCTTTAAGCACTCGCGTACTAGGGATATTGCACTCTCGAGCTCGGACGCTACGTCTGAGGTTATGGAATTATTTAATTATTTATTTACATCGTTATGGATAAACTGATGTCGGGTGCTGATTGCGCATGTGAAAATCTACAAATTTACATTGTTTAATTATTCTTTTACCGTCATTTTTAAGCAAAAAAATAAAAATTTATTGTTTCACAGTACCCGCCTTGTTTTTTTAAATATCTAAACAAATATTTTACGCGCAATCGATTTATCCTACACGCATTTTTCATAATTATTTCCGGATGCCAACTTCATGGACCTATCTAAGATTGCTAAATTTTATCAAATCACCAAAGAGTTGCAGAGTTGTTGTTATCGCGATTCACCAGAATGTACTGGCAAAGGTCTTAGACCATACAGCCTAACCTAGTCTGATAGTTCGCGAACGACGAACGATTAGGAAACGTATCTTGACACTGTACTAAAAGAAACGTTTCCGAATGCTGATTTTTAATCGGTCTAACAGCTCTTTTCGTACACCTACACTAGCAAGATGCCAATACCAAATGTAAACGTAACTCGAGAATCGGTTATGTTTACATTTGGTAAGAATTGGTTAGAGCACAAGCTAATAAGAAGCACTAGCGTAGAAAAAAGCCAATGAATGCCTCTCCGATTCAGTCAGTAACAGTCAGTCGGTGTTCTGTGGTATTGTGTGGTGTAGGTATATAAAAACTATTCTGTGATAAAACACCGTAGCTTAGGGGGAGGCGTGACGTCTCATTTCTTCTAAGCGCTCGCGTCGAACAGAACTGCATTCCTGTAGGTGTTCAAATCTTCGTGAAAAACCATATTATGCTCCATACTGACAATATAATAGCTCTTTTCAGAACAGAAATGGTTTTTATAATAATAATTTTTAATACGTATTTCTACAATTTACAATGTATCACTTCGATCAACAATTATTCTACTAGATTAACGATCAGGAATAAAAACAAGTCGCTCAAGTCGCTAGTTTTGCACACACTTAAACATCTATATTTCTTACTATGAAATATAGAAAACAGCTTAATAATATTAACAGCTTCAGCTTATTATAAACCTTATGACTCAAGCATAAAGTTTAAATACCACTGCAAAATATGTTTATTTAATTTCTGACGTCGGAGAAAGATGCTGTTTGAATATAAAAAGTCATAAGTAAACAAATATTGGTTCTAAAATGAAACTTAAATTGTAATTTGCCCTCGGTGGCATTGTGATGTCTCAACATTTACTATGATATGACCATACTAGTTTGAAATAAGGCCACAACGGTATTTATGGTCTTGTTTTGAATCGTTTATTGGAAATCTAATACTATTATTGATCGAAGATTTATCGTATTTATTGAATCTTATAAAATATTTAATAAACATTAAAAATAAATAATTTTATAACCAGTATTTCTATACCATTTTTAACGATTTTATTGTAATAAAATGGGCAAAAAAAAATACAAAAGTTTATTCTTGCTTATATTTCAATTTTTTTTTCATAATAACAATTAGTAAATATTGTCCAAATTTCAGAATAGTAACAACTTTGATTGAGTTTCGTTGCAACGATTCGCAATCGTTATAACAATAAACAGTTAAGAGAGCCATGCATAACTATCTATTATTCTATACGTTATAATGCTCATAGCTAATACTGACTTCCTTCAAAATTTCTCAAAAACTTCTCAATGTAACGCATCCACAAATTATAAAGTTGGACTCATCCACATAATTTGGATAGTTAAGTTCCATAGACGTATATAAAACATATATAAGTCTATGCTTGGTTCTAAAAGTCACTAAGTCCATTTTTCTTGTTTTGACATATGGTCATTTGGAGTGCAAAAAATGTTCTAAAAGGCATGGCTGAATAAAAAAAATTAGAAATATATAAGACAGTCATTTATTTGATAACCTTTAATGTGATGTTTTAAAAAAAATATTTATCTTAATCATTAAGCCTATTTTTTTATTATATGCAAGCTATGCAGGTCTAGAGGAAGAGGCCAGTATCACTGCGACCTAAAAGATCTATTGTGATCGCTGCTATGGCTATATTTCACTGCTAAGCTCTATGTCTTCAATGAATAGGAGGAGTTGCTTAGCCGTGAGCAATTTCACTTATTCTGGGTGGCGTACCTAGTTTCCTAGATGAGTGTTACGTTTGCGCATTAAGGGTCCGCATTCAGTTAGGATGTGCAGACGCGTTTCTTCCGTTATAGAAGAGAACCGAGATATCTTTGAGTTGCTTAGTCCCAGGATGGACATGTGCTTTTTAAGACAACAGTGTCCAGTTAGGGCTCTTGTCAGAATGCGCAATTTATTTTTACTTAATCCCAGGGATTCTGAAGCGAATTTAAGATTCAAAGCCCGGATTAAGGTCTTAGAATGTTTTAAGCCTGGTGTATCAGACCAGATCAATGGTCAATCGGGCTAGACTTCTTGAGATTCCACAAAATGGCTCTGGTCCAAAATGTGTGCACTTTGAGCCTTCACGTGCAAGTTTGTCGGCAAATTCGTTGTCTACAATACCCGCGTGACCCGGAACCTATCCAAAGAAAACTCTGTTGTTACATTCCAGGGCGTTTAAATGGTTCACGCAGTCTCCAACTAGCTTCGAGTTCACTAAGTTCGACCTCAGCTCTAGTAATGCTGTTTGACTATCATCATCATCATCATCATTACAGCCCTTCACAAGTCCACTGCTGAACATAGGCATCCCCCAAGGTATGCCACAAAGCACGGTCCTGAGCCACCTGCATCCATCGACTTCCTGCATGTCTTACCAGGTCGTCACTCCATCTAGTGGGGGGTCGCCCTACATTTTTACTTATATAAATTATAATATTACATTTAACATCAATGGCGAGTACATCACTCACCTTCGATTTGCCGACGATATAGTCCTTATGGCAGAATCGCTGGAGGACTTAAGCACTATGCTCAATGACCTCAATAGTGCCTCCCAACGGATAGGTCTTAAGATGAACATGGACAAAACAAAGATCATGTTTAATGTCCATGTCATACCTATGTCGGTAGATCAGCAGTGACGAAGCTTCTATACAAGCCCAAAAGCCCGGCTTGCC